ACATTCAATTAAGCTATGGGGTATTGTTTACGTTTACATTATTTCGCTCTGTAAAGATAAAATATATGTTGTTAACAGCATGCTGTTAATTCTTATTTGAAGTAAAGCACTTGCTGCCGTTTATGGCAATGTTACTTTGGTGGTGTGCGTTAGGTTGCGGCTCGCGTGTTCTGAGTTGTTGTGGTCGTGGGTTCGAGTCCGCGGTCAGACAACTCTGAGAATCTTTATTTATAAATTTATATTAAGAGTATTTATGGTGATGCCCCTAGGTTTTCTTTGGAATTCGCTGCTCAAAAAGCAATTTCATGTTCACATGGGGCAATAGCAACACGTTTTGTTCACTCCACGGAGGGTACGCGTTTAGTTCATTACTTAGCGGAGCTCTTCACTAAACCTATAAACGACATTCATTTACTTTTGTTTAATTTAATTCATATATTTTATTATTAATTATCATTTTAGCTATAGTTGAATTTAATGTTTTGATACCAATAATCACTTTCCCGAATTCTTGTTCAGTTTAATACAATTGAAATTTAACAATTTTTTTTTGTTTTAACTTTTTTTTGTATATACACATTACTTATAAACTATACTTAATAAGAGTTCTTGTTTACAAATAAATTTTAGGATGAAAATGCATTGACAACGAAATACAACAAAATAGCAGAGTAAAATTGAAATGTGACTATTGTTCGGCAGCACCATTATTATTGCGCTTTTGTGTTCGTGGGGGACTCTCGGGCTTCTATATAGGCTAAGTAACATAACTCCTCCTCGGCTTAAACGAACTCGTAGCCAATTCCAAACTGGAAACCATTCGTGACCTTATCAGTGGCCTGCTTTTGCAACGGGACACAGTAGTTCAGTTCAATGCGAGCACGCTCCGCCAGCTTGACTGCTAGACCAATGCCATAAGCGCTACGCATGTTCTCTGAAAAAAATAACAAATTTGAATCAATTGAAAATATTCCATATCAGATTCGTTGTCTACTTACCCATCGAGAAGGAATTGCTATTGCCCATATTGTAAAAGAAATGCATGCGGAAATGACTAGCCAGGCCCTTAAAGACGCCTGCAAACGGCAACGGCGTCCACAGATGGGCGCCCGTGCACCAGAAGGTCTGCGCCCCAATGGGCGTACCATCGATAACGGGTCCAGCGCTGCCGTACTTGAAGCCACGCAATGTCAGCGGACCGCCGCAATAGAATAGGTTGCTGATGGGCAGCACTGTCGTCTTTTTCGTCTCTTTGACGACGCCGACCCGTCCACAGAACTGGGCCACCAAGCCCGCAAATAACGGAACATTTACCTCCCCGTGCGCCGTGCTGCTCGTATACGCAACGTTGCCACCCAGGCCGCAATACTCGTTCACAGACTTCAGCAGGAGGCCACGCGTGGGGAAGACGCTGGCATCCCGATTGTCAAAGATTAGTGAATAACGCACCAGCGATGCCAATTTGGGTCCACAATGATCGCGTATTCCGAACGGCACCGATTTGTTCAATAAGCTCAGGTCCCTGATCGAGTTCTCATACTGCAGCGAGTGTGTGAGCTGATAATTAAATAGAGAAGCATTCAATTAGTATATGAGCAGGGAGGAAGGCGTCTCTGTTAAATGTGAGCCCTATAACAGCTTATATATGAGTGGGAAATGTTAGTCTTTTAACAGCTTGTAAATAAATGACCATTCTCTTCTGTTAAAGTGCATTTTTGTAGTTTTTATGTGAAGGGAAATGCTCTTCTGTTAAATTTGTCGCTTGCAGATGAATGCTCCCAATCTATGTCTTCTGTTATTGTTAACAGCTTTTGCATTAATGTGAATTCTTGCATTTTAGCTAAAGCAAATGTTAAAA